CATTGAAAATATGAAGATATCTGTTAAATCAATTTCCATATTCTTTGAAGGGAAAAAGAAGAAGCATCGAAGAAGTATAACTAAAAGTGAACAATAAATAACAGGAATTTGTATGATTTCATAGAAGTAATATTCAAGCAAAATAGAGAAGTGCTATAGCAAATAGATAAAAGCCCTCAATCGATAGGCTTCAAAGCTGAACTCTTAAGCCAATGAACAAATGATGTATAGCAGATGAATTCAAATTTCAGCCATGTTTATTACACAGGAACTCATACTTGAAACACCATGGTCTGAAACATTTCTACCACATCCACTTGAAGGTGAAAAACAAAAGCAAAATAATTTTGCAGGAGAAAGGGAATCAAAAGCATAAAAATCAATTATCATATGAATTAACAAAAATGGCACATACAAACAGTAAAAAGCTCAACCCACAGCTCAGCCATCATACCAAAAAACAGATACAATAATTACACTCAAATAAGTTCAATTCACCATGATCTCAAAAGCACTTGCGAACCAGTAAATCCTCTCCACTTCATTGCCTGGATGCTGAATCACCACCGTCGCTGCCTCCGCCGCCTGACAATTCCCCATTTCTCACCTTTATGATCCACACACAACACACTAAGATATGATCAAATCAAAATCCCCTGCTTCAATATTGTTCGTTTCGGTTTTTGAAATTGAAGAAACTTCGAACTTGAATTGAGGGAATTAATGAAAGGGGGGCCAAAGGGAGAAAAAAATACCTGGATCCTTAAGAAGCTTCATGTACAAAGTCCAACCCGCCATGCTGGCAGTTCATCCAGACCCATTAATCTTGCAATAACACTTGGTGTGTGGTGGTTGGCTTCCATACCTACTGACAATTCTTCAGCTATAATAAAATAAAATCACTTAAATCATGGCACTGTCCAGAAAAAACAAATACATTTGCATTGTCAGACATTACATTATGACAGAAAATAATTCATATATCAGAAAAGAGAGACCTTGTCGCTACCTAACTTAAACCTTGAATTAAACCTTGTCGTTGCCTAACTTGCAGCCAACTATGATAACAAGGGAAATGAAAAATGAAAGAACTTGAATTGAAGCAAATAAACACCAAATTAATACTAAATTTTGGTAATCAAAAAATGGAGCCACGATAATCGTCTAGTATGTATACTTTCCAAAAAATAAAACTCGGAGTTGATATATCAAAAAGAAACCAACAAATTTAAACAAAACATCTTAGACGGAAGGTTTCCTGAGTGTTTCCAAGTCTCGTGACTCTAATAGAAACAAACGGTAAGCTCTCTGCTTGTACTCTTCTTTGATTTCCTTGAAAATTCTTGTACGAAGCCGCAAATTACAAATGAATATGAAGAGAAAAATAAACAGAGAAGAGTATTCAGACAACATAAATGGAGCAAATGTTCCCCAAAATGAATTCCTATGATAAAAGGATGTGAAGCTCAATCTATTGCCATGAGTAAACAGACAGTAAAAACGTCCCTGACAGAGAGAAAGGCATCAACAACAACCTATAGTTCCAATTAATTCAAATATATCACAACCAGCAACAACCTAAAGAACCAGGTTTTGTTTCTTTTCTTTTAGAACCTAAAGAACCAGAAAGAGCTATCAGCAACAACCTACAGAACCAACTTACTAACGGCATTGCAACCAAATTTGTGTGAATGAATGGGGGGATTACCTGGCATTTGAAACCAAGAGCAACCATATGATAAAATTTTCAAACACCAATATTTGGAAGGCAGTAGCCGTCCTGCAATAATATTATCAAAAATTCCCAGCCCTAAATCAGTAAGCAAAGCTATGCATTGAAGGACATCATTCCCAGCCCTAAGGCAGTAGCCTTCCCACACAGTTTCAATAGGAAAGCAAAGCTAACACTATGCATTGAATTTCAAACACACTGAACAGAAAGACCATAGAAAAGGATGGATAACTATATGAAGAAATTTTACAACCGAATTGTGCAGGTCTCACCTGAAGGACATCTGATTAGAGAACAAATATAATAAAACTACAACCACATTATCAGACTACAAAAATCCCAGAACAACACCATACAACATAAACCGAAAACAATCATTTTCCCTAAGTACCTTTTAAAGAAAAAATAGATTTGATCGACAGAATCAATTACCATAACCAAAGATAACATACACATCCCTAGAACCCTCATTCCAAAGCTAGCACATTGCTATAACATCAAATGAATGAAAACACCAAAAAGGTTAAGCAACCAACAATTTAATGGGATGGTTTTGAGGGGAAAAAATTATGTTGGGTATAAGATTCAACTTCCATCCTGTGTTGCCAGGGAGCCGTTGGGCTGGGTTGGGTTGGATGTGATGGTTGAGTTGGGTTAGGTTAGGTTGTATGAGATAGTTTTGGGGGGAAAAATATGTTGCGTATAAGATTCAACTTCCATCATGTTTTATAAATGTGTATATTTGAGAATCAAAGAAATATTCTATCAATGCAAAAGCTGAATTGAGGAAGAGGAAAGGCAAAACCGCAGCCACTGGCAAGGAAATCATTGAACACGCTAAGATTTCTCTTTCATGTGGGCTGTGGGGTGGTGGTGGATGCAGGTAGATGTGGGGGTGTTGTGGTGCATTATTGTGGGGGTGTGTTGGTGGCTATTGCCGGGTTGTATTGTGTTGGTTTTATGGTGGAAAGAGAGAGAGAGACCTGACTGGTGTTGATGGCAGTGGCTGCTGGAATCAATGGCCATTGTGGTGACAATGATGTAACACCAAAAATTTTAAATCTATAACACATATTTATAGAGAAAACCAAAATCATCAAAATCAACCAAAAATACAAACAATTAATCATAAAAACCAATTCAAAAAAAATTGTGTGATAGATTTAATTTGTGTGAAGTGAAGAGAGAAACGGTGCGAGGGAGATGCTAGATATGGGGTTTTTGGCTGGTGTGGAAATGAGTGAAAAGACAGAGAAAGGGGGGATACCTGCACTGGACTTGAGTTACCTGCACAGGAAAAAATGAAAAAAAATGAAATCATTAGAGAGAATGAGATCCAAAACAATTTGCATATAAGCGATGAAGCACGGTGTAGTAAAAACAAAAAAAATTGAAGAACGAAGAGGAACAAAGCTCTCTCAGATCTTTCATCGAACATTTGGTGAATATGTTTGGTGGAGTAAAGGGAGGTTTGTGTGTATGCAGAGAGATGACGACAGAGAGGAAAAGACACAACCCTATTAACTACAAATTAACATCAATTTACTCCATTTAACAACCTTAATTTTGAAATTTTGAAATTATTTGTGTGTTAGTGTGTGGTTGATGGGTGTGCTAGTGTGTGGTTGATGGGTGTGTTAACGTGTGTATGCATTGTGTGTGTGTGTGTGAAAGCAGAGGAGAGAGAGAAGTAGAGGGTCGGGGCGGAGAGAAACAGAGAAGAGGGATACCTGGGAGGGGTGTGTGGTTGTGGCAGTGGTGGTGGCTGTATCGCTGGCGATGTGGTGGCATTGGCTATGTAGCAGGGGATGTAGTGGTGTTGCAGACGAAGTGGGGATGGTGGTGGTGTTCCTCGTGGTGTTGCTGGTGTTCCTCGTGGTGTCGCTGGAGCGTAACAGAGAGAGATAAAGGGAGAGAGAAAGAGAGGGTATGGTTGTCTGAGAGAAGGGATGGCTTGGCGTCACTGGAGAGTCTCTGACAGATGAAGTGACTGAGGGTGGCCTGATTTTGAAAAATATTGAGTAAAAAGAGATGAATTTGGGAGGAAATGAGAGAAGATTAATGACCATCGCATGAATGAATTGATTTGAGGCCATTGGATGTTGAAGTCGCCTTGTTTTATATTATAGATTTGCTACAATGTTTCTTTACTGTTAATCTACTGTTAATATTTTCTCAACCACCGATCTTTCTACAATATCAGGAATAGCAGATGAGGCTGAGATCCTATCATGCATTATCAATTTTTTCCAACCAGATTACTTAATTCTTTTTTTCTTTTACATGTTAATAAATTCACGATGCTAATGGGGAGTATGCCCATGTGTTTTTTAAGTCTTCATCAACGATAGGTAATTTATTGACCATTGAATGAATAAATTTGAGACCGTCTGATTAGTGCAGATCTACGTCCCTGTAAGTGCACTGCTTTTTATTTCTATACATTCTTTTATTTCTATACAGTTTAATATAATTTAATTATATACATATTTTATTTAACAAAACTTTCATAAAAAAAATCAAAATGTATTATCTTCATTGATAAATCACCAAGAAATCATTTGACTGCGACTTATTTCAATCTATAACCAAATCAAAATCTATAAATAATTATCAATTGATTTCAAATTCACCACATATTTATATCCAAACTTTGAATTCATTCAAAATTCACCAGCCACCTTCCCAAAATCTAAAAGTGAGCAGAACCCATGAACACTTCCTGGTGCAAGACAACATTAAATCACGTGTGTACGCCGAACTTTCGTCCATCTCACCACTGACAATGGCCATCCGTCTATCATTAGACAACTGGTGATAGAAACATTTAACCAAAAAACATACAGAAAAGAAAAAAGAAAGGGAGAAAACAACTAAGTAACAAAAGATATTCCTATAACCAAACTTTTGATAACCTGAACAACTGGGTATATGATTATTGAATGAAAATAATAAATTTAACCCAGGAAATTAACCTGCTAGACAATAGCATATAATAAAAGAAACCAATTAATGATGCAACTACGGGTGTGTGCATCTCTTTTGGTGCACATTATTACACCATTTCAATTGATCTTAGGGTCTTATTTTTTGCTCAAGTAAATAATAGATTAGGCCTTAAATAATTTGAAAACCACAAGAATGGCATAGGAAAACACCTAATCACAATAAACATTTCCTTTTCCTTGGTCCTCGTTAGTAAAGGAAGAAAACTATGGGCAACATAACATCTTCCACTTAAAAATTCTAAAACCCAAAAACCATGAAACACTTCTTAATAGCTGCAAGCTGGATGATCATCTATCACTAAATATTCAGTTAAAAAAAAAAGTGATGAATTTAAAATATAAATTCATCTAATGATAGACAGATGGCCATTATCAAATAGAAATAAAAATATAGCAAAACCATACAATCAAGAACTTGTAGAGCAAAACAAAGATCATTTTATAGCAAAACCCAGGTCACCAAACACAAGCTCAATAAAAAACCAGATACCAAAATCAAAAAAAACTACCAAGAACCTCAAGATGCAAGAGACCCATTTCACATCTACTGATATAAGTACCAAAAACCCAGCACAAACATTCACATTAACATTCCATTGCAAAATGCAAGAGACCCATTTCACTAAACTGAACAAACATCATAACCCAAATGCGATTTCCCACAAACCTTCACCTACTCTTTATATTTAGAATCAGCAAATGGGGCCTCCCAAATCCGAAGCAGAACTAAGTTTAAACCCAAACACGGAAAATGATTACATAAACTATGTTTAATTTTTCACCACGACTTTTCCTAGTGTGTGTGTTTTTGTGTGTATGTGTGTGTGTGTGTGTGTGTGTGTGAGAGAGAGAGAGAGAGAGAGAGAGAGAGATGAGGCATACCTGGGAGGGTTTAGCAGCGGCGGTGCGGTGTTGCTAGTGGTGTCGCTGGGGCGGTGGTGGTGTTGTTGACTTCGGCGATGGATGGTGGTAAGAAGAAACAGAGGGAGAGAGATAAATAGAGAGAGAGAGTGAGAAGAAACATAGGGAGAGAGATAAAGATACAGACAGAGAGAGAGATTGCGTCTGACATAAGGGTTGGGGAAAAAAAAAATGATGTCCAAGCCATTTTTTCCGTTGAACCGAGGAAAAGAAGTGACCGGTGGCAACTGAAGGGACTGAAAGATAAGATTTTTGAATAAATTTATAGGTTAAAAGTGATGAATTTGAATTTGAATTTAAATTTGAATGAGATGGATCGTGAGCTTTTAGATGAATGAAGACCGTACGATCGATTTATTAAAGCTTCGCTCTGTTTTATATTATAAATTGTCCTTGTAATAAATCAAAATAAATTCACTGTAATGCTTCAATCATTGAAGATTATTATAATAATTTTCGGCAACGAAACATAATATTTGTCATAGAATATTTTTTTTTTGTGACAATTGTTTTTACACACCGCAAAAAAATCGTCGCAGTAAAACATTTTTCTTCTACGACCAAATATAAATTGCCGCCAAACAAAAAAAATTTTAACATTTTTTTATGAGACAAACATGTATTGTTGCTAAATATTATTATTTTTTGTTCTTATTTTTCATTATTTAACAAAAATTTTGTGACCGAAAAATTATTTTGGCAACAATTTTTTTTGTCGCCCATAAATTAGCATTTAGCACTAACATTGGCGCCAATTTTTTTTTGGAGGGAACGTTTTTGAGAAGACTATTGAAAACGACTACAAAAAATAGTCGTAAAAAATATCATAAAAAAATTTATCACAACAAACATTTGAAATTGTCGCCAAAATTCACTTTTTTACAACAAATTTTATTGTTCACTGCCAAAAAACAAATTTGTTGTAGTGCAACTACTATGGAAGCCCAAAACGATCAAAGTTGGTTGTCATTGTTTTGGATGTAATTTCAATTTTATGAAATCGTTGTTTGCCCAAATTTTTTTTGTAACAATCAGGAAGCTTTGTTCTCCAAATCTTCATATTGCCCTGTGATGTGAGGTAAAAGTATCCTAAGTGAAAATATTGGCTTCATCAGTATGCTCAATTTTGAATGCAAGAAACTAATTCAATTTGTACCAAATGATGCGACCAATTCAGTAGGTACCAAACGACATATATTTATACTGGTTCAAGAGTAGTATGATAAAAAAAATTAGGTTCAGTGTTTATGTACCTACTTTGTTATTTTAATTTTCTAATTATTCATTAATATATTGAAAGCATAATAATGATGTGTATGAAAAAAATCTGTAAACAATCTCACTATACTTTTTTACGTCTTTCATGAAACATCTACCCTTCAAAATTTGTAAAAGACTTTATAACCAACGCAAGTAAATTTGGTGGACGTTGTTGTAAACTCCCACATTCGTTTTATCAAATATAGCAATGTAATTATGTTTTTGAAATGCTAATATACGTAATGGAGTATGCATGAACCAAGTAGATGGTAATAATAGAGATAAAAATGTTAATAGTGTAAAATTGGGTAAATATTTATTTCAAACTTAATTTTGAATTGTAAATATATGAAACCGTTTGCAATAGAACTTATACCAACTATATTTGATGTACAAATGTATGTTGTATAAGTTTGGATTAGTTTTGGAAAGATTTGGAATGAGTTTGAAATAAAAAAATAGACAAATTTAGACAGGACCTACCGGTAGTACGTTATCCAGTGGATCCAAACTACCAGTAGCTCGATATGAACTACCAGTAGATCGTTAAAAAATCAAGATTTTCTGTTTTTGAACTCCATTTTCACTCTATTTGCTCCCATTCTTTCATACCACTCTCACCTCACACCTCTTAGAACCCTAATAGAAAGACTTAGAGAGGAAGAGAGAAAGGAAAAACAAGAGTTTTAAGGGTGATTCAAGATCAAATCTTCTTGTCTATCACACCAAAGCCAAGGAGAAAGGTAGGGATTTTCTTCCATTTTTGTCCATTGAGGCTAGAGTTTATATATATATATATATATATATATATATATATATATATATGTTTTGCTTCTAAATCTTAAATATATGCTACGAAATACTTGTTCTTTGAAGTTTCTACAAGTGCCACCATGTTTTGAAGGTATTTAAAAATCCTAGTTTTTGAAAAAAATGGATTTTCCTTCCTAATAATCAATTATTCTTGATTCTAAAACTCTAGTGCTTTGTATTAAACAACAAATGGTATTTGTGATGATCTCTTACTTATTTTCTTAAATTATACTCTTGTAAGGCAAGTTGTGAAATTTGAGAATTTTGGATTTACTTATGATTTGAGAATGTGGTTGAAATTGTATCTCTTGTATAGTTGTTGTGATGGACTTGAATTGCATTTGAGCACTGTCGTAGAGAGTTAGAAGTTAGTCTATCTCAGTGGGGGTGAGATGGTTTCCTAACACTTGTAGTGGGTTGTTGTTTGTGAGAGCAACCACTATTGTTCACGTAAGTTCGAGGCTAAGGGTGGGTATACCTTTCTTGGGGAGTATTCGTCAATGCCGTGGGAGACGGTGTACGCCCTTCCTAAAGTGGTTTATGTGGTTATGGTTGGGTGAATGAAGTAGAGTCATTGTGTAGATTCATGAGAAGCAATCAACATACATGAGAATATGTTTATTGTGTGAAATTAGTTTCCTACAAGAGCTTGTGGAGGTATGAGACTCTACAAGAGCTTATGGAAAATTGTTTATGGTTATAAATAGTTTATTGTTTGAAAAATTCATTTTACTGTTCAGTTAAATTATTGTTATTGTGTAAACTTGAGATCTATTGAAATATTCCTGTTTTTTTTTTAAAAATTAATACATGATATTTGCAAAATGAGACCGACTTGTTTTACATGTTTTCTAAATCTTGTATGAGTTTTGGAGAATGTTGCTACAAAGTTTAGTGCTCACCCCTTATAAACAGCATATTTTCAGATTATGCGCTAGAGGAGGAGCTAGGAGTAGATGAACAAACACATTGGGAAGCTCCTATAGAGGGGAACGTGGATCCCGAGGTAGACGTCTAGAGTTATTTTCTCTTTTGTTCTAGACTAGGAAATTTATTTTGAGACTATGTAAAGTCAATCCTTTTGTAATTCCGCTGCAAGTTAAATTTAATTCTTTTGGGGATATAATTGTCATAGCCTGACATATTCTTTTGAATATAATGACCATGGTTGACCTATTCTTTTGGAAGGATATTGTAAATGTTTTATTTGATGAATGAAATGTTCGTTAATGATAGAGTTATTTAGTTGCTCTCATGGTATGAATGATTTATAGATTGTAATGCCGTCCAATGTGGGTTTTGGGGCGTTACAGTTGTACCCTTCAAATTTTATGTTTTTTAATCTTCTGTTAATTCTATAGTCTTTACCTTTATTGCACAAAATTGGGGCCCAGAATTTAAAAGGGTGCTTTCAATTAGAATTATTCTGTAGTATTTTTGGTGAATGCACACAAAGAACTTAGTAATTCACCATTACACACATGATTTTAAACATAAAATATTGGATATTTAGATAATTTGTAAGGTTATATAGCAAATGGGTCACCTATGCAAACAATTGATAGAGCAAGAACTTCGATGGGATATCACCAGAACATGCTATGTTGGTGGATGACTAGCATTGGCGCTTGTGTTATGAGGTGTAGGTAGAGACAGAGAGGAAGGGAGACAGAGAGGTAGTGGAGAGCTGAGTGAGAGAGGTATATGAGAGGGAGAAAGAGACTGAGAGATGTGTGAGCCACATGAGCATCAAATAGTATGAGATAGAAAGAAAGAATTATACGAGATATAAGAGTTTTAGAGGTGTGGAAGGAATGAAAGTTTTGCTCAAACAATTGGGGGGGCAATTTTGCATTACGACTATCGAATCAATAATCTCCTCAAACCATCTGAGTCACAAAAAATTTAAGACAAATTATCTAACTACTTTATTATGCTAGTTGGTGCACATGTGCATTGCACGTGAACCATTTTGGGTTATAATTTTTTTTTTCTTTTCTTTTGTAAGTTTATTTTTCAACATTAGAGTAACTTGAGAATATAACTTGGGATGTATGAAGAAATAAAAGATAAATAAAGGAGCAAATTAACAAATTTCACTCAGTAATGTATGATTGTAGTTTTACATCAATAGCTAGGAACAAAAACTACCTTCAATGAAAATTATTCCAACAAACAAACATAAATGAGCCTCAATGGATTTGGTCCTATAATGGACAGAAGAGAGACACTGAAATGCAGAGAAATAAAGAGATAGCTAGAATTAGAGGAGGGGTTTGAGTCAAATTAGGCTACTAGTCAAACCAAAATCAAAGAGCCAATTATAACCCACTCCTAATTGCGAAAAAAAAAAAAATAACACTTCTTCTTCGCCTTTGTTACGTACCCAAACAATTTCACCAACCCTCCTTGGAATGTCACTGTCCCTAATAACACATAAGGGGCACTTGAGCCTTTGTAATTGTGGGATTTTTGCCATTTGAAGAGCTTTTATGTAGCATCTCTATAGTTTTGCAATCAAATAATCAAAGATGGCTCCATCAAGTTTTAACCTATATTAAAAGAATTAAAACTCAATTATGCAGACCAATGATATTAGCTCAAAAAATAAGCACTAAAATCCCACAACATCAAACAATTTTTTTTTTTGGGGGAGATGGAGGAGAACTTGAACCCCTTGACCTCAGGAAGGAAAACCTTCACAAAACAAGGAATATCATTGGACTAAAGGCATGTTGGTCACAACATCAAACATTAACTTCCTCAAAGTAACCCTTAATTAAATCTTTCCTGCCTTGCTTTCAGTACGTCATAAGATAAATAAAATTCATTCTCCCAAAGGATTCCATTCAACTATCCAC